CTTGAGTTCACATGTTGACAGTGTGTGCAGCTCTCTCCTTCCAGCTAACTAACTGTAGCCTAAGACTGCTACCCTACAGAGATTCCCTGCCAAGATTAGCTAACCTGCTTCCTTATTCAGCTGTAGAATGTCTGATTGCTGGTGTGGTCCATCAGAGTACACTGGCCACCCAGCTTTGGCTTGGCTGTACATGCATCTGTTGTTTCTTCATTCCTGGTCCCTCCAGTAAAGTCAATCTCAAATCTGTGGTCACAGTGCCACAGTTGTGGAAAATAGCTAGAATATTTATTATCCAGCAAAGAATATGTATATAGAATAAATAAAGGATTTATATATAGGATAAATAAAGAGTTCCATTAATAAGTCACCAAGGATAAATAAAGTGGGCAGAAGTCTTGTAATTGGCCCTGGCCCAAAGGTGAAATGCAAATTTTCCATAAACACGTAAGAGAAGGCACTGTCTAGCCTTCCTGAGGTATAACCCCCCAAAGGATACCATGAAAGCCTGTAGAACTGCACCACCACAAGAGGCTGAGAGCAAGTGTTGGAGAGGCTGTGACCATGTGGACTCTGGGCATGCTTCCCAGCCAGGGGCTGGCCGCAGGACTGGATGTACCCAAGCCCCGTGTGCTGTCTTAGCCTGTGCAGTGGCAACAGTGGGCACATACTGTGTTTGAGTGAGCCTGAGAATCATGTGAAGCCTTCCCTTGTCAGGCTCATGGGAGCTTTTAAACTCTTCCCAAAGGACTGTGGTTGACTGACTTGTTCTTCATATCTGAAAAAGCCTTCTACTAGGATTTTTGTTCTTTTTGTTTTCTTTTAAGATTATAATTGCAACATTTCTCCCTTCCCTTCTCTTCTTCAAAACACTTCATATACCCCTCCCCTCTCTCCTTCAAATTCATGGCCTCTTTTCACTAATTGTAATATATATTGCATGCATATATGTAGATGCATATACATATATGTTGCTAAATATAATGTGTTCAGTCCATGTAGTGTTACTTGTATGCATACTTTCAGGGCTGTTTGGCAGTACACAACCAACTGGTGTGCTCTTTTCTGGGGGAAGACCACCTCTCCTGCTCCCAGCTTTTCTCAGTTGCCTATAGTTCTTTCTTATGGGTTTTTCTCCATCCAGTTCATTGGCGTCATCCTTGTTCAGATCATGTTTGGGCAGTCATGTAGGTGAGACCTTGTGGGTGGAGCTTCTGATGTTACTAGGAGACACAACCTCACAGCAAACTCCCTGATCCTCTTAGTGCTTATATTCTTCCCACCTCCTCTTCTGTAATGAGCCTTAGGTGGAGGAATGTTTTGTTGATGTGTCTGTTACAACTGTATTTTAATTGGTTGTGAATTTCTGTAGTAGTCTCCTCTATTGCAAAGAGACATTTCCTTGATTAGGTGTGAAGATACACTTATCTGTGGGTATAAGAACACATTTATAGATTGTTGTTAAGGATTGTTGTTATGCTGGTTTAATAAATTAGTGGCTGTAGATTCTCCAATAACTATGACTTCACTAGCACTAAGATAGCTAGGTTTCTAGTACCAGGCATGCTTAAGTCTTAAGTCTAATCAGAGCTGTTAGTTACCATCCAGGTACATGTGCTACTCCTGTAGCCTTAGTGTTATCCTGCCAGGCTAGTTGCTGATGTGGCTCATAGGCCTCATATCTGGAAGGGCTGTTGGTTGCCTCCCTCCTTTGCCTGTTGATACCATGAAAGCTAGTTCTCAGGGAGGAGGCGTTCAGGGCAGTTCCCGCTCAGGGGTTTTGGACCCTCTTTCTGTAGTGCATGGTTTCTTCAGCAATAGAAACTTGCCTTCTGCCTCTTGAGGGTAACCAAGAACAATAGCAACAGGGTGTGTGTTTTAGGAGTCTCTTTAGATAGCCCTGGCCAACAACTCAAAAGAGTGCTTCTCATGTCTGGACTTAGTTTTCACAAGGTAGTCATTGGGTCCTTGAGGGTGCATCGTCAGCCTCCATGAGAAAAGTTCCCTAATGGGACTTTTAAACAAGTGATTACATAAAGAAACAAGCCATCACAATAACTATCACTTTAGTTCTTCCTCCTCCTTCTCTCCTACTCCATTTGTAGACAGGACAAGGTCTCATTATGTAACCCTGGGTGACCTGAAACTCAAAAAGATCCACCTGCCTCTGTCTCCTGAATTTTGAGATTTGTTTTAATTTTTTGAGAGAAGGTATCACTGTGTAGTCCGTCTAGGTTGGCCTTGAACTCAAAGTAGTCCTCCTGCCTCAGCCTCCCTAGTGCTGGTATTACAGATGTTCGACCACACCCAGCTTAGTCATCTCTCATTTTACGTATCTACTCTTCCCAATGCCACTATAAGGACAGGTGAGGTGAAATGACCACAGGGTCATTTGTGATGGAGATAGTCAGACCTGGCTGTGCTAATGCAGGTATCTGTAATATCCCGCATACTCTACTGCCTCTTCAGAAGTGACTCTCAAACTCCACTTCCTCCTCCATGTTCCTTGGACCTTTCTCACCTCAGTTTTTCCTTTTTCCCTGACTATCTGGAACCAGCCTGACATCACTTTCCATTGTCTCTGGAATTGTCCAGTCTGATAAGGATGCTTATAACATCCCCCTATCATAACAACCACAGTATAACAGTAGCAGCTAAGGCTGCTCATGTGGGAGGCACCATGTGTGCCAGGCACCGTGCTTGGCTGTTCATATCTCCATATCTAATCAAAGTTCTCTGTGGTTACTTCTGTGTTTAGATGGAGCTGCAGAGATGTGAGGTGAAATGCCTGTCTCAGACCACAGTTAGGAGGTGCCAGGGCCAGGGATCAACCTAAGACTGTTGGATTCCAAGGACTGCTGAGCTCTTTCCCACAGCTCTGTGTTATTCCTTGAACCCTTACTTTACCTCACCCTGTATTCTATACTCCAGCTTATATTAGTGGAGACTGTCCTCTGCCTCATTCAGCAGTTATATTAGCACTTGCTGTGTACCAGATGTTCTGAACTGTGTTAGAGTCACCAAGATCATTACGATGATTTTCTTGACCTGGAGGTACCAGTCTAGTTAGAGAGACAGGCCACTGAGAACACAGTGCTCTGGGAACTAGTAAGTACTTCATAGAAGGTAGAGGTGCCAGTGAAGAGGGAACAGCCAGGTCCATGGGAGTTGGAGGATGGGAGTGAAAAACCCTTTTCCAAACAAAGGTTTATTGAGAGATGGTTGGCTGAGCCTTGACATATGAGCAGCAGTTGCTGATTGATAAGGCAGCAAAGGCAGTCTATGCAGACAGCCCACTCAGCTGAATTCAGATCCTGTCCACTGCAGGTGCAGGCCCTTAGAGTAGATGTGCTCATCCACACTGCTGCTTCCTGGAGCCAGGAGTGTGATGTGTGATGCCAATGCATGTATGCTACCTTCCTGGATATCTATGTTATATCTTCAGAGTGGGAAGGATCGACCACTCCCTGGCCTATGCTGCCAGCATTACCTTGTTCCTGGGAGAGTGTGCATTTTCCTGTGGATTGTGTGGAGAGTGATAGCCACATTAGGAATGGTGCAGAAACTCACATTTTAGTGAGGAAGCCTGGAGATATAACTCTGTTGTAGAGCTCAAGCTTGGCATGTAAGAGGCCCTGCGTTTGCACCCATATGCATGTGCACATACCATTTTAACCCATTCACCCAAAAGCCTAATTCAGTGGGGCTGCCCAGGAGCTTCCTAGGGAAGAACTTAAAGAGGAAGGGCAGGTGCAGGAGGCCTGTGAACCACTGTTTGGAAACGCGTTCTTTGAACGTCTTTGAAGGCAGGCACTGGAATCACAGTGGACACATAGATTTGGAACAAGGTTTCTACATCGTGTTCCAGGGCAGTTCAGGTGATGGGTTACTTCATTGTAGAGGAAGGTGGGCCTGTGTGCTCACACGTACCACTGCAGGTAGACCTGAGCTCCGAGATTGGGTGATTTATCTTTTTAGATGGTTTCACTACTTGTTGCACATTAAAAATTGTATTTCAGGCTGGACAAGACTGCAGTCCTGGTTGCATGGGAGGCCAAGATGAACCTACAAGTTCTAGGTTTGCCTGGGCTACAGAGCCAGTTCAAGGCCAGTTGGGTCAAATTACTGAGACTTTACCTCAAAATAAAATACAATAATGAAAACGGGAGATGGAGGTTGTAGCTTGGTGGAGAGCCTTATCTAGCATGTCTGAGGCAATGGGGTCGTTGCCCAGCATGGAAAGAACATCACAGAACACTAAACACTTGAGGCTGTTCTTAAAGTATCCCACCTTCATGCTTCTGCATTTCTGTTCCCTACTTTTCTGGACTGTGGGAAGAACAGTCCCTCTACTCTCTTGCTCCCAGCACCACTTAGAAACTGAGGATGGCCCTGAAAGATGTCTTGAGCCACCTCATTGATTCTACTTTTCTTCCTAATTAAGCCCAGGGCTCTGACAGTGATGTCCTTTGGACTTTACCCTCGCCCACCGATTTCACTCTAGATGTAGCAGCTGAGCTTGTTCCCCATGGACAGGAGGCACTCATTCCAGCCCACTCAGAGTCCTGCTTTCTATTCTATGTGTGTGCTCTCGGAATCTCAGCAGCCTTTTGTTAAGTCCTCTGTCAGGTACTCGGCACCATCTCCTATCTGTGAGCACCCATCACTTGTCACTTCGAGGTGTGCCTTGCTTGCTCCACTAAGTCGGAATCCCCAGCCATGCCCCAGCAGCCTCTGATTTTGCCAGCTCTGTGATTTGTTTGCACCCTGAAGTTTTTCGGTGCTGGTTTCAAGGGCTTGACAGATGTGTCTGTGTCATGTATTACTTCAGAGCCCCTTCTGCTATTTTTTCCTGGGTGGTTACCTCTATATCCTGTCCATTTCCTGAGTGAGAAAGTGTGCTAACAGAAACTTAACCACTACAATGCTGAGTGTTTCCCGGTGGCCCTTGGCTTGACTCTCATGTCAGTTTGTGTAAGCTCCTGTCTTTCCCTCTCTTCTAGGTACCTGTACCATGTTTTAACTAAAAACACCACTGTCACAGAACAGAACCGGAACCTGCTGGTGGAGACCATCCGTTCCATCACTGAGATCCTGATTTGGGGCGATCAAAATGACAGCTCTGTGTTTGAGTAAGGCTTGCAGTGCTTTTGTTTTTTTGATTCTTCCTCTTCCTTTGGGTGTTTTTCCAAGTGTACACCATGAGTCATTCCTGTTGAAGTCAGGAATTGATGCTAATTCCATCTTGCCTGAACATCTATATCAAATGTCCTTGAGAGAGTGTAGAGGTGCAAGTCAAAAATGGAAGCACTATGGAAATGGGTTTCTCTAGAAAAGCTGAAGATGTTGTGGATAGCGTTCCAGGTTGTGCCCTCTCATCCACTCCAGGGCAAGAGGAGTGTCCTGGATAGTTAGGTTCTAAATGAATAGGTCCTGCCTTTGGAGAGTTGCTGAAGTCCAGCATTTAGTGTGTTTATTTTAGTTTATTGCCTTGTATGTATATGTACATGGTGTGTATGCATATTGGAACATATTTGGACATGTAGGTGGTGTGCATGTGTGTGTACACACATGCCTGTGTGTGGAGATCAGAGGTTGATGTCAGGGGTCCTCTATCACTGTCCACTTAACTTATTAAAATATGGTCTCCTGCTGAACCCAGAGCTTGTTAATTCAGTCTGGACCAGCAATTCTCAATCTGCGTCATGGCCCTTTCACCAGGGTCGCCTAAGACCACAGGGAAATGCAGATATTTACATCATGGTTCATAACAGTAGCAACATTACAGTTACAAAGAAACAATAAAAATAACTATGTGGTTGGGGTCACCACGATATGAGGAACTGTATTAAAGGATTGTAGCACTAGGAAAGTTGAGAACCACTGCTCTAGACTAACTGGCCATCTTGTCCTCCACATCCCTGTCTCTGCTTCCTGAGAGCTTGATTACAGGCAGCCTGCCAGACCTACCCAGCTTTTACGTGGGTTCTAGGGATCTGAACTCATGCTTCTGAGGCAAGCACATGTCCACTGAGCCATCTGCCAGGCCCTAGTGTGTTTACTGAGAGCCAGCAACAGTACTGAGCTTTGAGAGGACAATCTAGCAAATTTGCCCAGTGTCCCACATGGAAGTCCTGTTGGTATCCCCATGTGTAGCTGGTAGACAATAAAGGATCCTCTCATACCCACAGTCTACCAAGCTGGAAAGATGAAAAATACTTGCCATCAAGCATGAATTCGAACCCCCAGAACCTATATAAAAGCTATGCGTGATATCACATGTTTGTAATCCCCGTGCTTGTATGGTGAGATGAGAGGCAGAAACAGAAGAATCCCTGGAAAATGGAAGACATTGCTGATATATGCAGCAGCAATGACACCTGCCTCAAACAAGGTAGAAGGTGAGGACCAACATCCAAAGCCTTCCTCTGACTTCCACGTACTTGCCATGGTATATACATGTCCCAACACAGACATATACACCATACACACAAAGATAAAGACATTTACCTTGAGAGTGTCACACGTAGACTACTAAGTCACCCCTACAGCAAAATCCAGGCTCAGATGTTTGACAGCTTTCTCCATTGGCCATCCTGTAGTATTGAGTGTGCTCATGATCTTGCAGAGTCACCGTTTTGTGTAACCTAAAGGGGAGACAGATGCCAGAAATGTTCTGGGGGTCAGTAGGAGCAGTGTGTACAGGCAGATGGGCTTCTGGAGTCAGAATGGAGAAAGATTTTATGGATTTGTTGTTGTTTATGGTCATATTTTATCATTTACTTATCCTTTCATGGATTCAAACAGAATTGTGTGGCAGTGAGTATCAGGCCACTGGTCCCATCCCTGTGGAGCTGACAGTTAAGGGGAGAGAGGCACCAAGAATTGAGTCAACCAGTAAACTTATATGACTACAAGGCTTTTCTTTCCTTCCTTCCTTCCTCCCTCCCTCCCTCCCTCCCTCCCTCCCTCCCTCCCTTCCTCCCTCCCTCCCTCCCTCCCTCCCTCCTTCCTTCCTTCCTTCCTTCCTTCCTTCCTTCTTTCCTCCCCCACTCCCCGAGAGGCAGGGTCTCTCTTGCATTCTAGGCTAGCTTTGAACTTACAATGTAGCCAAGAGAATGACCTTAGACTTCTGATTCTCCAGCCTCTACTGCCCACATGCTGGAATTACTGATGTATGCCTCCACACCTGCCTTATGTGATGCTGGGCAGGCACTCCACCAACTGATCTGGATCCCCAGCCTTTGACTGCTGACTGTTCCAAACTGATCTTGGTCAAATACACTAAACAAATAAATAGAGATAACATCTTCTTTCTTAAAGGAAGGCACTGAAGGTCACATTTTCAGCTTGTACCATGCCTCCAGGCCAGTGTTCCTAGCCATGTATCCTTCCAGCACAGGAAGGCAAAAGTAGCCAGCCCCAGGGACTCTGTAGGTTCCCTCCATCACATCAGTGTCTTCGCCTTTCTTCAAGTTCTTTGCCCAGGGATATGGAAGCTGCAAACTTGAGAACAGAAGTGAAAAGCTCTGCTGTCTCTCAGCATCATCTGGCCCTGCAGGGAAGCTCAGTTCTTGTATTTTCTTGCCCTTGAATATGGGAGTGCAAAGGAAATAGGTTTCATTGGGGAAGCTAAGGATGTAGTTTGTCTGCATGCTGGAGAACGATGCTTGTGTGACCACTTAGCAGGTAAGGGGCATCCTCTTTCTGGAGCCATTACTGGCCTCGTGTGCTGAGACAGCAAGAGAGACATCGTGTGCTGTCCTTAGCTGCAGATGGCATCATGGGCACTGAGCCTGTACGGACAGGAGTCACAGTCTAGGCTTGCCACTGGTAGTTTGACAGGGCAAGCCTGCACAGATGAGCTGACCCTTTCTCACTCTCTCCCCAGCTTCTTCCTGGAGAAGAACATGTTTGTTTTCTTCTTGAACATTCTGCGACAGAAATCAGGCCGCTACGTGTGCGTACAGCTGCTGCAGACCTTGAACATTCTCTTTGAGAACATCAGCCATGAGACGTCGCTCTGTAAGGACACTGCTTGCCATTTGCCTGTGTACTGCCAGGTGTCAGCTGGTTCTGTATGTTAGTTCCCACGTAGTTTATTCTGCCCAGGCTTTACCCAAAGAGGCCTAGTGGCTTGGACAGAAGAGTTTGCTCTCTGCTTTGGAGGATGGAGATCCACTTTGCAGCGGAACTCAGGGGTGATTGCGGAGGGGCCTGTCTTCTCAGCTAAGAGACAACCACTATCTCAGTCTGTTTTCTGTTACTAGAGCAAACTCTGAGACTAGATAATTTAAAATATTTTTGTATTTCTTACGTGCATGGTTGTTTTGCCTGTACATGTCTGTGTTCTATGTGAGTGCCTGGAACCTGTGGAGGCCCAAAATAGGGTATTGGATATTACCTATTTGGAGTTAGAGATGGTTATGAGCCTCCATGTGGGTGCTGAGAATCAAACCCATATCCTCTGGAAAACAGCCAGTGCTGCTCTTAACCACTGAGTCATCTCTCCAGCCCTGAGAAACTAGGTCATTTAAAAGAATGAGCTCTATTTTGGCTTAATATTTTGAAGGCCAAGAAGTTCAAACTGAGGCATCCACATCTTCTGCTGCTTCAATTCATGGCCAAAAATGCAGTGTGAAAGAGACCAAGTATTTGGTCATTAAGCACATGGTAACCTGTTTTTTTTTTATTTTTGTTGTTTTGTTTTGTTTTGTTTAATTTGTGAGCTTTACAGTGTAGGTAATCCCCACATTGCAAAGCTTCAAGTGTTTCTTTGAAAAGATTTTTTTATTTGTGTGCATATATATACTCGTGTGTGTGTTTGTGTGTGTGTGTGTGTATGTGTGTGTGTGTGCACATAATGCAAAGTACATGTGGAAGTGAGGAGATAGCTTGTGGGAGTCAGTTCTCTCCCTCTACCCTGTCAGTCCCAGGGTTGGAACTCAGCTCATCAGACTTAGCAGCAAGAACCTTTACTTGCTGAGCCCTCTTGCCTGCCCACAGTAACTTGCTCTTAAGGTAATTAACTAGTCAAGAGCCAGAAGAGGGAAAACTCATGGTGAGAAACACATGAACCCACTCATGATAGCCTCACCCTGTTACTAAATGCCACTCATTAATCCTTGTCTCCTAACACTGCCTTGTTACAGGAATAGGGGTGGTGACACATGAACTGAGGGACATGTTAGACCTCTGCCACCTTCTCACTGTAGCTGGCCATGCCTAGGAGAGAATGAGGTGAAGAGTTGCTCTCTTTGACTCCTGTGGGGTTACTGATTCTGTCAGGGTTGGTTGAACCCTGACCCTGCAGACTCATTTAACCTTAATTACTCTTAAAGCCCTGTCATCACATGCAGTCATGGGGGGAGTGGGGGTGACAACTGCAGCCTTTGAATGTGTTGGGACAGTTGGTGGGGTTCTATGAAATTCTCTGCTGAGTGGAGCAGTTGTGGGGAGGGGGCTGCATCCCTCTGTATGGTTCAGTTTTGAAGACCTAATGGCTGAGTAGTCAGGCACTCCAGCTAGCACTTTTAAAGAGGCCTTAGCTCCCACCCGCCTGCTTCAGTTTTGCTGCCCAAAGAGCAAGAGTTTCACTCAGCTCTACCTTCAAAATTCCCAGTTTATTCATCTGTAACAACCATCTCTGGGAGGCAGGGGTTATTGTAACTCCAAGAAGGTTTGAGTCCTGGACCAAAGTACAATTCTAGCAAGTCCAGAACAGAGAAGAGATTTTAGCACAGGAGAATAAGCTCAGTGGTCCTCAATTGGGTGCTGGTATTTTCTGGGTACACTGCTGACATCTGGAGCTTGTCTTGGTTGTCATAGTCCATCCAAGCACAGGGCCTGCTAGACATCCTGCAGTACCAGGGACAGACCTTCAGTAGAGCATTGCCTAGACCAGACTCTTATCCACACTGGGACTGAGCCAGCTTCATATTATTCTCTGCTAGCTTGCCTACCCCAAATGTAGCAGAGCCCAGATCCTGCTCTTGAAGGGGAGAGAAACGGATTGCCCAGAACAAAGGCAGGTACTGAATTCCTGGGACAAGTCCGGACAAGGGTCTGGTAGGTAAAAGTGGTAACCCTTCTGTAGGGTCTGGAGTCTTGCTGTGTGATGACCTCAGCAGTGGCCGGTAGGTGGTGCTGCAGCCACAGAGACTTCTCTTCCTTCCCCTGACCACAGCCTGACATAAGGAGCTAATTCCTGTCTCCCTGCGTGGTTTCCCTTGTTATCAGCTTCTGTTTCACTAGATGTGAAACAAGTGTGGTCTCTAAGCCCTGAGAGTAAGATGTAGCTCTGAGGGACAGGATCAGGGCTCAGCCAGAACTCAATACCCGGGGATGTTGCTGAGGCCACTGGGACAATTCCAGCCAGAGTCTTGAGTACAAGGTCCTGGAGTTTTATCTCTGTTGACCCATTTGCAATCCATCTACAGCTAGAAATTGAAAGTTAATGCTTTAAAAGTCTTAGCTTCTTGGTGTAGTAGCTTGAAGATCTGACATGAATACTTTGAAGTGATCTCTGCTGTCCAGCTGACATATTCATCACCTCCTAGGTCCTACTCTCTCAGGAATTTCAGACATCCAGTAGAGGGCTGTTAGCTGTCATCACCCGTCACCGTTCTGTACGTTGAGAATTTAGCTGCCTCACAAAACTAAGGTCTTGTGACCTTCAGCCAGCCTCCCCAACTTCCTCCACACACAGCCCCTGGTGACCCTTTCTGCTCTTTGAATCAGTGTTAACTATTTTAGTTCTATACAAAAGTGACATGTGTGTGGCTTTAAAAGGAACTGGGAACAGTGTGGTGCCCTGCCTGAGAAGCCCTGACAGACACACTCCTCTCCCTTTCTGGACAGGTTTTTTTTGTCTTGGCTGTCCTGGACTCACTTTGTAGACAAGACTGGCCTGGAACTCACAGAAACCCACCTGCCTCTGCCTCCCTGCATGCTGGCATTACAGGTGTGCGCCCACGAGCATGGCTTCTGGATAGTTAATTAAAAATAGTTTTGAGGCAGTTTTTCTCTAGGTGGTCCAGGTTGGCCTCAAACTCTTGATCTTCCTGCCCCTAAATGCTAAGGTTACAGTTATGTGTCCCTATACCCAGCTGCTTCCCCCCCCCCCCCCCCCCCCCCCTCCCCCTCTCTGGCCCCTTACCCCCCCCCCCCCCCCCCCCCCCCCCCCCAGTTTTTGAGGGAAAAAGTCATTGTAAAACAACAAACTTAATTACAAAAGTGCAGCCGGGTGTGTGTAGCCTCCGACTCTACTCTACAGTTGTCTGTAGAGTCACTTCCCCCACTTCCATCCCATCCTGTTGTCTGTTGTTCCTGCATCTCTCCTCCCCCAGCTTGGGCTCACAGCTGCGTTCTTATTAAATGAACCTGACTGTGAGCATCTAGGTGCTTTCCAGGCTTTCAATATTATTTTATTACACGGAGCCATTGCTCAAAGGCCACTGTTGTCTGTTTGTTCGGTGACCTAAGTGACAGAGGCCCAAGAGACTGAGATGACATACTGACTCCCAGGTTTATTATAACAGAATATCACAGGATGTCAGCCACAAGCAAGGGTTTAGTAGAAAATCCCAGCCACACAACAGGCCCCTTCACTGACCCCTAACCCCCACAGAGCCATCTTTTAGAAGACTTAGAAAAGTCCCTATGGGGAGCAGATGAGCCTGTGGCTGTTGCAGGTATAGAGTGTATCGGAGTCTTTTTTTTTTTTTTTTTTAACATGCCTAAAGCTTCTAGCTTTTGTGCCATTTGTGGCCCAGGAGCCTATAAATATAGGACTCACTAAGATATCCTACATCCCTTCACCTGTTAGCCTATTGTTCCTCCCCGGTTGTCCCTAGCCACATTGTGACAAGTATTCCTGTTAACAGAAACACCTAGTTTTATGTTACATGACAAACCAGACATGGATAAATACATCAAGGACAGATTAAGAAATGGAACACTAAATAGCAACAAAGATGGGGGGAGGTAGTGGGGCTGCCACATACAGCAGTGTGACAACACTCAGATGTAGCGATGAGTGAGAGACCAGCCACAGACAGCACTTGTCCTGTGATTTCTCTGGGTAAAGTTCATAAATAGGCACCCAAGTCTGTAGAGATGGGCAGGGGTATGAACAACATCCTGAGGAACTGTGAATGTGCTAGGTCCTAAGTGAGTGGAGCCTACAAACATACATCTGCATAATATCCCACAAGCCAGACACCTGAGGCTCACATGCTTATGTGTTAAATATGTGTGGGAACTTGAGGTTATATACAGTTTTACTTCTACATAAAGTAAGCTTACTTGTAGCACTGTGACCATGACTCATTTTACAACGTGTTAAGATTTTTAGGACCCCACCCAACCCTTCTGGCCTCTCATGGAACTGGCCCCAAGAGCTGCCTCAGGTATCAAGGGTGTGAGGGCAGGCTGGCTGCGATATCTTTCACCGTGTTATCGCTAGGGTTGGTTTGGCTGATCTTGCTGGCTAAGTGAGTGGTAGTGGCATTGACATCCTCACCACCTGGGCTATATCCCTTCATAAAGTGTATGCTCTGTTGGCGAGGCCAGCCTTCCTGACAGAGGTGGGACCTCTTCAGTCAAGGGTGTTAGTAGTGCTGCTCCCCTTAGGACCAGGTAAGTGTAGGGGAAGTAGGACCTGAGAGGGTTAACCTGGTGCCGGCCACACGGTAAGGATGCAGTGGCCCTTAGGAAGTTGTCAGTAGATTAGGAAGATTGAAGACATGTGCAGCCCTTTCTGGCATTCAGGCATGACATTGTCTTTTGACGGCCATGTGAGGCAGCTCTTTATTAAAATGAGGCCCTTCCTCATTTGCAGGTGCCTTGTAACAGTACCCTCATGCCTGTTCTTCCTGCCCTCAGCTCCACACTGAACTTAGCTAGCAATGAACAGAAAACATGCATGGGTTTGTCCCTTTTGGTTCACAAAGGAGGCCACAGGCTCTTCCTGGATGGGTCTGTGTGCTTGCTAGTGGTCCTGCCTAGTGTGTGAGTTCTTTGAGGAGTAAAGGGGAGCCTACCCTTTGTGCTTAGCTAGTTTCAATCCTATGTTCATTATCCAGAAGCCTTTGCTGGCCTTTTACCCATGCGAGCTCACCTGTTTTCACTTTGTCTTCTCTCTCCTAGATTATTTGCTGTCTAATAACTATGTCAATTCGATCATTGTCCATAAATTTGACTTTTCCGACGAGGAGATCATGGCATATTACATATCGTTCCTGAAAACACTTTCATTAAAGCTCAACAACCACACTGTCCACTTCTTTTACAATGAGGTGAGTGGTGACCAGCAGGTGTGGTGTCAAGCTAATCCCCGCATGGTTGCCTTTGCTCTGTATGGTCAAGAGTGTATCTACAAAGCACTCTCCTCAGCACAGGATTTGAAATACTTGACAAGAATATTCTCTTTTTAAATGTGTGTGTGTGTGTGTGTGTGTGTGTGTGTGTGTGTGTGTGTGTGT